TTCTCTTGCGAGTGCTATTCATGCCTGCTCTTCTTGGGTAAATCCACCAGAGGCTGCTGTCAACTGGCTGACTGACTGACTGACTGACTGACTGACCGACCGACCGACCGACCGACCGGCCCGCCCAGCCCCTTTCCCTAAACCCAACAGACAATGTTTTCAAAAGCAATCCACAAAAAAAGAAAAGCTCTCGTGGCCGCCTGACACCACATTTTACTACATTTTCAGATCTTACATTGTTATTTACTTGATTATTTTATTTGTTTGCTTTTTTTTTAACCTGTTTTCTGAACTGTTCTTCCTCAGACCTGAACTCTATTGTTGCCGTCCTCCGATGTATGAGACGAGCCACTGGTGAAACTGGTAACAGCGGAAAAGCTGTCCACGCAGAGGTAAGTCGTCAACCAGTAGCGCAAAAAGAAACAGAAACAATCGGAGGTGTCATATCGCCCCATAGCATTAGTTTTAAAGATGAAATGCAGCCATAAATACCTCTGGCTACATACTTCTCTCGCTCCAGAAATTTATACAGAGCTATAAATTTACAATGAGCCTGTGTTGAGTTTATCACAGGGGCGGACTGCGGGACAAAAATTCAGCCCTGGCACTGTAGCCACACCAGCCCACATTACCACACCGACACAGCCCCACCCACAGACACGCACATTCACTATTTAGTCTACAGATGGTAAAATAATATGACATTCTTGCCAGATTTTGATTATGTATGGGTAACCTCGGATTGGGTCGGCCCATCTTGAAACCAGGCGGCATTTGACGATTGGGCCAAATGCTTAACATTTATTATTATTATTATTATCATCATCATAATATCACATCTAGCAAGAGATAAAAGCTGTCTGCACTTAAAAACAACACATATTTTAAAAAAAAACTGACCGGCCCACATTTAAAAATTTGGTCCGGCCCTTCTGGCATTTGCCAGAATTGCCAGATGGCCAGTCCGCCCCTGGTTTATCATCTATGTTTTAGTTGTCAAGTACTATCAACGGAAATCACAAAGGGCTTGGTATACTTACAATTATATCAAAGAACAAACTAGTAGGTATAACAAAAAAATGATAATGGAATCAGGCAAATCGGTCAGTTAGTTTCACCAATTCGAACAATTTTTGGAGAAATATCACTCCAAATGAGGCAGACACATTTCTTCAGTTTAAATCTAGACTAAAGGCACATCACTTGGCACTAATGCATACACATAAAACAAAATACATTGACTAAACACTCAAGAGTAGCTTCATGTTCACCAATAGTGTACCACTGCTTAGATACAGTATTTAAAATTCCTATTGCTCCTGAATAAAGACAATTAAATTAACTTTGCTGAGAATTTACTGGGGCTATAGTATATATAGAAGAACAGTGTCATTTTCAAACACTTGTATTTTTTGAGAACCCAAAACTCCAAATGCCCAAAGCACATTCAAGCTGAAAACCGCTGGAAACACAAGAAACACAGGCACAATAATGAAAATACAGTGACCCAGAAATTTTGTGTCTACTTATTCAAGAAGCTACTCTAAGTCATCAACTGCAGAAATGTTGATCACTTAAAAACTCAGATGATGGAAGAAGACATGCAAGTTGTTGTCTGAGTTTTGTTGCTACAGCTGTTTTGAAACTTTGTGTGGGGTCAGAAACAAAAAAAACAACACCTTTAGATCAGTCAAATTTTGTGTGATGGTTGACTGCATAAATAAGGATTCATGCAAGCTAAATGGCAACTATGTAATCATATTCAACAGGCATTACAAATCCAGGGAACCTGAGGCTTTCATGCTCTTCATTTGGTTTACAATGAGACTGCATTTGGGGACCTCAGTATTGTTCAGGCCTGTTTGAGGTAATTACCCAGCTTCATCTTCTAGCCTAGAGCGATTCCTAACAACTCGACGGTGTCTGTCGGTAATGTCCTCACCTGTTCTTTATAAAACAACAAAAAGCAACAATGGTTTCAGATGTCATTAGTGGCGAAAACAAACCTTATCTGTCATCATGGATATGATTAGGATGTAATAAACATTACAATAAGAGGTTAATGTGATAAACTAATGCACCGTTTTAACCCAAGAACAATGGGATGCTTCATTTAATGCTGCGTTACTTATCTAACTTGCTTGCCCTCCCACGTTTGAACTAAGAAGTATCTGAGAGAGCCTTTCATTGTGACCATAAAGCTGTAGTGTGTGGGTGCGTATGAATTCCATCTTTTTCTGTGAAATGAAATATTTGTACACTTTAAAACGGAATAATAAAACATGTGGTTTTAGTGACCATGACGTCTTGAGAGAATTTAATTATTATTGAATGAATGTCTTTTAGGGAAGACACATTACCACTCAAAAATTTTTAAGCCAGTACAACAACAACAACAACAACAACAACAACAACAACAACAACAACAACAACAACAACAACAACAACAACAAAATCATAATACTTATTTCCTTTTGCTTTTTCTTGTTCACTCAACTTTTGAAAATATCAGATGCACTTACCTAAACGTATTTGTTAGTAAAAAACAACAAAAAAAAACATTTAGTTGGTTTAACATAAGATTATTAGTTTTCTGAAGAGGTGAATCACTCTGTAACAACTTTTAATTTGTGCCAACTGATTTTTTTTTTCTGCAGAACTGAAATGCCTGAAGTTGAGTGAACAAAAAAACACATAATCCTTAATTTCCTTTAGTTTTTTCTTGTGTACCTTTGAAAACTTCAGTTGCACTAACCTAAAGTGTCTGAAGTTGAGTGAACAAAAAACTTGAAATCTAGAAATTGATACTAAAAATAAATACATTATCAGAACAAACAAACAAGTACAAAAAAAAAAAACTAAAACAGAGACAAATGTTAATAAAACATTTATCAGACACAGAATTAGAAACAGGTTTGCCAACGATAGGTTGTGGCTGGAAGGGCATCCGCTGCGTAAAACATTTGCTGGATAAATTGGTGGTTCATTCCACTGTGGCAACCCCAGATTAATAAAGGGACAAAGTCGAAAAGAATATGAATAAAAAAAAAAACAGGACAGGAGGCAAAACAACAATAACAGTAAACAAGACAAGGATCAAAATATGGCAAGTCAAACAGTGAAAATACTTAACAAGGAAAAACAAGACTCAGCAAAAAGTCTGTGTGAATGAGGTGTTTTAATATTTAAATATGAAATTGCTCATTTGAGAATGCATTTTGATTTATTATTTGATCCTTTGAGCATTTGATTTATTGTTTGGTAGTTTTTTTGAAAGTTAAATTTATTATTTCATCTTTTTAGGCATTTGAAATTTCATTTTAATTTTGTTAGGAAAAATTTTTTCATTACATTAAAAGTCTTTCTCCGGCTGTTGTTCACAAAACTAATCTTTTTAACTTGAAGAAAATTTTGATTTAGGTTAAGTAAATGTGTTAAATGTAGTTGTACAGACGTTTTTACTGATTTTTGCCAAACCAAAAAAACAAACAAACAAGTAAATTCAACTTTTTTTAAGTTGGATTTTTTTTTACAGTGCATGTGAAATTTACTTGGGTGTTTTAAAGACAATATCTTGACAAAATAGGTCACCAGATTTAATTATTGTTTTTTAGTATACATTTAGAGGAGTATTTATATAATCAACTTACTTAAGTTTTAGTTCCAACCTAATATTACGTGTTATTTAATATTTATTGTGACTTGACTCCAGGTTGATTGAAAATTTTAAAATGTAAATGATTAAAACTAATTAATTTGTTTTAATTAATTTAAAGATATGTAAAAATGGAATGAACTGAACCTTAGAATTATTTTCTACCCATTTAAGTTAATCTGTCAATCTGTGCTTTTGAAAATACTATTGATTGGGTTTAGGGAAGGAGGAGGGTGGGTCAGTCGATCTGGTAGTTCGTCATTCAGTCAGTCAAACAGCGGCCTCTGGTGGATTTACGTAAAAAGAGCAGGAGCGAGTCGTACTCGCGAGAGAAATTTGAGATCTCAAAAAGCATGTATACAGTAGCAGCTTCTTGGGATTCGCCAAAACAAAAACTGCAAAAAAAAAAAAAAAAAGGTAGCTCCTGGCTACGGTCTCCATATTTGGCGGTCTCCAGAAATGTATATAGAAGTAAGTTTTCAGAACTTATTAAACCATTTATTAAAACATTTTTTGTTTGACATTTTATGTTGTCTTTTGGTAAAATGTTAATGTAAATTACAGTCCAAAAGCAGGTTAAAGATTACTTTTGCTGCTTGTTCAAACTACTTATTTAAAAATGAGTTGAAACAACACCATTTTTAAGCTGTTTTTGAGACAACCTAAATTATTTATGTTGAATCTATCAATCTTATTTCTACACTAATAAGTAATATATTATAAAAAGTGAGTAAATCTGTTTCCTTAAAAAAGTGAGTAAATCCATAATAACTCTGTACTTTTAAACTTAACTTAATGTAATCTAAATGCTTTAAATACAACAGGATTACCCAATTGTTTTTTTTTCACAATGTACCAATTAAATTTTCTACTACACTTAAAACTTAATTACTGTAGTTTGTGACAGCTTTTTGTCTCAAAGTATAATTCAACTTTGGTTCAAGCTACAAAATGTAACTTAATCTAAAATCAAAAATATTTATTGTGCTCAAGAAAGTTACTTGGGGGAAAACAAAAAGAAAAGAAAAACAATTGTTTACCCAGGAATTTTATATTTCTGTCTGAAGGCAATATAAATAAAACACAACCAGAATCGGTTATAATCAGATAATCATCATTTTACATTTAAGCCAATATAAAAAGTATGACAGATGGACATCAATCCCAAGTTTTATAGAACTGCATTACGTTGGCTTCAAAGAGGTGCAAGAAACACTTTGGTATATGATTGCAAAATCCAGTTTCTTGCTTCTCCCACTATCTCTCCCTCTCTCTACACACATACAATGCTTTCTCAGGAGTGTTTCCCCTCCCTCCATCTGGCGATCCGTCACCCCTCCTCCAGCTGCTGATGGTCCTGCTGTAGGCATATTCTCCTCAGCTCACTCACTCCTTCACAACCAGCCACTCGTGTGTGAAACTGTCCTGACAATATGCTTAAACCTGGATATATCGCAAACAGCGCACCTTTCTGGAGCACTTCCACAATTTGAGCTCTCAGTTCAGGAGAAGGACAGTCAATCAACACTACAGCTATGAGCTGTGCTTGAATGACCCATTGAGGAGCATTTTTCCTTTTTGACACTGAACGCTGCTCAAGATTTAGACATCCATAATGAGTCTTAAGAAGAGGAAGCCAAGCATGGTGTTTAGCTGGCACAAGTCTTTCTCCATCCTTGCCCCGTGGAGAAAAGGTAAGTGGTGTGACTCAAAATCTTCTGTTTTAGATACATGAAGTCATATTGCTTCACCCTGTTGCCTTTTGCGACACCTGGATAGGCAGTGCAGGTAGTAATTTGTCTGGCTGAGGTGTTGGAGGATGTTTAGGGACCTGTAATTTGAACTGTGATGTGTTATCTGATGGTCGAACACGGTTAGGGTTGTCTTCAAAAACATTCATTAGATGAGTTCCACAGGTAGTTGGGGTGATGTCATTTCAATAAAGTCAACTCTCCAAGCTGAGCTCATATAGAAAACCCACAAGACTTAACCGCAGACTTTATTATGTTTTGTTTTTAACTACAGTTGTTAGTGTTGCTTTGGTGTTAACTAGAAAAACATGTGGCAGAGGAGTAAATTTGTGTTTAATCAGTAAGAAATTGGAAGCAAACGTCAGCTTTAATGAGATATTTGTATTTGTTTTGCTTTGTACATCATAGCCGTTTAGCATTTTGTTAGTGCTTATGCATTTTTAATAGTAATATGTGACCTGAGGGATTGTTTAAAAAGTTCTTGTTTTAAATAACGGAACTTTAATAGTCATTAATAGACTATTAACATGAGTAGACTGCTTATGTTCACTAGTTTCCATTCAATAATGGAAGTACAGTTGTACAATAGCAATACCTTTAGATTTGGTTGTTAATCTTTACTACAAGCTGAATTATTTCAACAAGCAGGTGTGGTTCTCAATTAATGACTATATTAATGTTTATATATCGAGTATGTGCTTTTAGTGATGAGCCGAGAGCTTCACACAGGTGTTTCAACCTCAAGCAAAACCAGTATGAGAAACAGAGCGATATCAGATGTGAATGTTTTAGTGGTGACAGCTTCATGAGTGGGGCTCTTCTTCTCTGCTTGAGTTATATTATACGTGACTCATAACTGCAACCAGGCACAGCTGCATTGGGCTGAATTCTTCATGTGTAACATCAGCCAATGTGTGAAATCACTGACGCACACAGGTAATATCGACTCAAAGCTTTCCTAGGGAGACGAGAAGAGATTACATTAGAATTTGGACACGGACTTTAAATGGATAGTTTTACTCACTGTTTAGTCTCCATTAAGTGTTTTCAAACCTTTATGAATTTCTGTCTTCTGTTGAACACTAAAGATATTTTGAAGAAAGTTGAAAACCTGTAACCATCAACTTGCATAGCATTAATTTGAAACTATTCAAAGGAAATGCAAGTAAATTATTTATAAATATGTTACTTTCTTTAGTTTTCTAAAATGTATATTTTAAATATTATTATTAAGATGCTAAATGCCCAAAAACATTGATTTTCTTCTGTTAAACACAAAATATATTTTGAAGAAAGTTAAAACCATTACTGACTTCCATAGTAGGACAAGCAAATATTATGGAAGTCAATGGTTACATGTTTTCAGCATTCTCCAAAATATCTTTTGTGTTTAACAGAGGAATGAAGCTGAAATAGAGCTTGAACAAGTACAGATTGAGTAAATGACGAGAGACAATTTTTTTGTGTGTATCAATTATTCCCTTTATGACTGAGATGGCCACACAGAAATACAGATTTTCGTTATTATTACCTTTTTCCTACCTATTTACTTTTATTTTTACCTAATGTAATAGACTGCAATGTTATCATTGTTACTATATTTTCAGTAGTGACTAATTTTATTTTACTTTTACATCAATGCTTTATCATTTTGACACTATACAAAGGAAATGCAAGTAAATTTAAATATAAATATGTTAACTTTAGTTTTTTAAAATGTACATTTTAAATATAATTATTATTAAGATGCAAAATACCCCAAAACGTTGATTTTCTGGGTCACACTAATTCTCATTACATTATAAATAGACTGTTAGGTTGGGGTTAGGGTTAGAGTTAGTGTAAGTTTTTTTTTATTTTTTTTTTTTATAAGTTCCCAGGTTCTGCAGGTTGCATTGTCCCAAATTTTGCTTGCCAATCTTAAACTAATTGTAATTGATTGTTTTGGTTTAATTTGGAATTTTCTCAACCAGCGCTGAGCCCGGGGGACCAGAGGGAGTGCTCTGACATGGCCCCCCCAGGTTCGAGTTAGTGTAAGTTGACATGTGCTTGCAAAGTTTCTTATAGTCAGTTAAATGTTTGTTGAAGGAGCAGTATCAACATATTAAGCAAACATACTCAAATGGACCATCAAAGTGTTGCCCTTTTCTGTTGTCTGTTGAACACTAAATATTTTTTGAAGAAAGTTAAAACGATTAAACCAATTGACTTCCATAGTCGAAAAGCAAATATTATGGAAGTCAATGGTTACAGGTTTTTAGCATTCCTCAAAATAGCTTTTGTGTTTAACAGAAGAATGAAACTCAAATAGAATTTGAACAAGTGCAGATTGAGTAAATGATGAGAGAAATTTTATCTTTGTGTAAACTATCTCCTTTATGAGTGAGATGACCACAAAGAAATACAGATGTTCTTTATTATTGTTTTAGCAACTGTGCATTACAATTTTTTTTTACCTATTACCTTTATTTTTACCTAATGTAATAGTCTGTAATGCCATCATTATAAACGTACAATAACAAATATATTTAAACACCACATATGTTCAGTAGAAACTAATTCTATTTTACTTTTACATCTTTTACATCAACGCGTTTGGCATTATTTTGAAACTATTTAAAGGAAATGCAAGTTAATTCAAATATAAATGTTAACTTTCTTTCGTTTTCTAAGATGCCATTTTTAATGCTATTATTAAGATGCTAAATGCCTCAAAACATGGATTTTCTGTCTTCTGTTGGACACTAAAGATATTTTGAAGAAAGTTGAAAACCTGTAACCATTGACTTCCATAGTAGGAAAAGCAAATGAAACTCAATGGTTACAGGTTTTCGGCATTCTTCAATTTACACAGAAATACAGATGTTCTTTATTACTGTTTCAGCAACTGTGCATTACTTTTTAAAACCTATTTTAAATGTAATAGACTGCAATATCATCATTATAAATAAATAAATAAATAAATAAATAAATATATATATATATATATATATATATATACATAACATATTTTAGCCGAAACTAATTCTATTTTACTTTTTTTTACCTATGTGTTTGGCATTATTTTGAAAGTATTCAAAGGAAATGCAAGTAAATTTGAATATAAATATGTTAACTTTCTTTAGTTTTCTAAAATAGACATTTGAAATATTATTATTAAAATGCTAAATACCTCAAAACATTGATTTTCTAGGTCACACAATATTTTGATGGTCCATTTGTTGAATTTAAGTTGCATTGCATCTACATGCCAACTAATCCTCATTACATTATAAGTAGACTGTTAGGTTAGGGTTTGAGTTAGGGTAAGTTGACATGTACTTGCAAAGTTTTTTATAATCAGTTAATTGTCTATTGAAGGAGCAGTATCAACAGATATTAAGCAGACAGTCTATTAATACTTAAACGGACTATCAAAATAAAGTGTTGCCTTTTTCTGTCTTCTGTTGAACAATAGAGATATTTTGAAGTTAAAACCATTTTAACAATTGACTTCCAGTAGGAAAAGCAAATATTATGGAAGTCAATGGTTACAGGTTTTTAGCATTCTTCAAAATAGCTTTTGTATTTAACAGAAGGATAAAATCTCGAATACAGTTTGAACAAGTACAGATTAATGACAAGTAAAATGTTATTTTTGTGTAAACTATCCTCTTTATTATTCAGATGGCCACACAGAAATGCAGATGCTCGGTATTATTGTTTCAGCAATTGTGCATCTATTACCTTAATTTTTACCTAATGTAACAAATATATTAAATATGTAACAAATACATTTAAACATAACATATTTTCAGTAGAAACTACATTAAATCTATTTTACTTTTACATCAATGAGGATTATTTACATCAATTTGGAATTATTTTGAAATTATTCAAAGGAAATACAAGTACATTTATAACTATGTTAACTTTCTTTAGTTTTCTAAAATGTCATTTTAATTATTATTATTAAGATGCTAAATGACCAAAAACATAGATTTTGTTTCCTAATAATATGGCATTTTGATGTTAAATCATTTCCATGTCATGTAAAACTAATCAAGACAGATGACATTAAAATTCAGACAATAAGAGATGGCCTCACAGAAATGCAGTTATTTACTATTGTTTTAGCAATGCTGCATTGATTGTGGTCAAAAGTGTAAAACTTCAAAAATTCAATCCTAACTTTCTAAAAACCAACAATTTCCTCAGTAATCTACAATTTCATGGGTATTTTCAAAGAAACTGAAGAAGATACAAGAGTGGGGTGAGTTTGCCTGAGGGCTTGACTGATGTTACTGCTCCCGCACATTCTTGCCTTATCCTAATAGTGCTAGATAATGAAAGGCTGGCCGTTCAGTTCACATTGATAATGTGCTTCTGGAAAGACTCCTTAGGGTCAAAACCATTGGCTTGGTGGAGCTCAGAAAGAGTGCAGTGTAAACGTTCTGGCATTGTGATGAGAGAGACAGAGTGGTGCGAGGCACTAAAAGGTCTGCTGGCTTTAGATTAGGAAGAAGGAGAAAAGGGAATATGGTACATTTCACACCTCATCAAACCTGACATCTGGCCTTTGTCACCTCCTTCAGTAACATGCAATTTAGACAGAAAGAAGACAACACGTCAATTGGTGCAACCTTCATTTAAAAACCCACTGAGAAACTTTTGGTTTAAATAGGGGTTTGCCTATAAAAGGTTGACTTACTAATGCTGCATTTGGGTGGTTAGGGTGTTGCTATTGTTGTTAAAAAATTTTATGAGTTGCCTCTTGAAAAAAAGAAAAGAAAACAAGTGTGCTAATCTGTTTTATTTATTCGCACTTGTAGTACACTTCAAATCTCAGAGAGTAAACCCTCAGATTTAATTTCTACCCACCATCCACTTGTTTCGAATCAAAATGACTTTCCCTCATCTGTTGAACACAAAAGAAGATATTTTGAAGAATGCTGGACTCCAGT